AGGGCGCGGCGGTGACGGGTGGGGTGATAGCGGGTGGGGAGGCGCGCTTCATGGCCCTTGAATGGGGAAGCGGATGGGTGGGTAAGGTGGGGCAAGATGGGGGCCAAGGTGAGACAAGGTGGGATGCAACGTGAGATTTGTAGGGAGAGGAAGCTAAGGGTGCTGGAGGGGCGGGGAGGGTGGGAGCGGGGGTATGAAGGGCGGTCGGGCGACAGGGTATGGCATTCTTTATGGATGCGGGAGGGATCATATGTTGTGTACAGTGGGGAGAGGAGAGAGTGTAGGCGGGTTGCGTTTCGGGGGTGCCAATGGGGTGGGGCCACGAGCGGAAGCGGTACCAGAAGGGGGGAGAATCTGAGAAATATCTGGACATTTTATTGGAAATGTTATGGCTTTTTGGAAATGCAGCCACTGGGGTTTGGGGCCGGAAACCGCATTTCGACGACTCTTCCCGGTCCTGCTGTGCAGAGGCGGTATCTCCTCTGTACGTACACACGCTGATAGTCGCGACCAACTTCGCAGAGGCTGTATATTGCTGCAGTATCTAGACGACGTGTAACCTCATATGAGGTCACTTTTCAAGTTATTTCACTCAGAGTGCAGCTAGCACGTGGGTATCACTCCCAGAGGAGATGCCCGCGTTCGGCATCGCCCTATCCTTTCGAGAAGCCAACCATACATTGTAGGTGATGCAGCTGCGGCTGCATCTCGATACGTACAATACAATCCCATTGCTAACATCCCATTGCTAACATCCCATTGCTAACATCCCATTGCTAACATAACATCCCATTGCTAACCTCCCATTGCTAACCTCCCATTGCTACATAACAAAGGGCCTCATGCGTCACCCTACTGTAATTAGGTGTATGGTAACAATGCATTACGCTGTCCGAAAATGGTTAACGTACTTTACCCCGTACATTACAAAACAGGCCAAGGCTCCTCGTCAACACACTACCACTCGCACACTCGCACTCGTACTTTACAACACCATACATTACAAAACAGGATAAGGCCCTTCGTCAACACACACGACCACTCGCACACTATGTACCACTCGCACACTATGTACCACTCGCACACTACCACTCGCACAGCCCAACCTCGCACAACTCCTCGGCCGACACCTCTGTCAGCGATCTCTCGGGAACGACGCGCAAAAACCATTTGCCGAGCCCTTGCCCCGCATTCACAAACCCCCTTCCATCCACAAACCGCTTACAAATCTCTGCCCCCTCCTCCACTTCCGGTCCAACCCCCCCCACTCTGCTCACTCCAAAAGGTCCGCCCAACCCCCCACTCCTCTTCCTCTTCACCGCTCGTCTCACCGTTAGCGCACCCCGTTGCTCCAGTATAAACAGCACATCGAATACAGCCCTCGCTGTCACTGACGGAAATCGTGCCTGCGTCACTTTCACAAGCGATATCACTTCCATCCCTGGGTTTCGCATCACCTGGTTCATCACGCTTTGCCGCACATTGCTCGCAAGTGTCTCGCATCCGTTTCCATCGCAAGTCCTCCAGATACACGCTAGTCGCGCTTCTGTCCGTCCTTGCTTCTTTGAATCCATCTTGTACCTATGTACCATCAATGCCGAGCAGTAATTGGCATGAATATACAACACCCCATCAGAGCACTCCCACTCTACCCCGTGTAGCGTCGGGTGCCCATCCGTCTCGATTGACAACCTGTGCACCATACCTTTGCGCAGAAGTCCTTGCACGGCTCTTGCCAGTTTCCACCTGCACCCCTGACCCACTCTGCTTTCAACCAGCTCTCGAATCGTCACCCCTAGATGTTTGCCCTCCATAATCACATCTTCCACCTGTTTCTCCAATTCTCCATCTTCCACCTTGGCAACCACTTCCATTTTACAACTTCCCAGGGGGCCGCTTCCGTGCGCTCCCGCCCTTACCTCTTCTTCGTACCTGAAACTTACATCAATCAGTGTCTTCGGCCCACAGTTCTTCCCCGTATCTTCTTCTTTTGCCTCCCCGTCACTGGAGCTCCCAGCAAACTGCTTCTCACATTTCTTTTGCCTCCTTTTTTTTTCTTTGTCCTTCAATTGGCTTGCTCCATTATCCTTCTCTACTGGTCCGCCCTTATCAATTCCCTCAACCGTTTTCTGCACCCTGTCGGAGCCTGGCCCTACCTTTTCCGGCACATTGCCTATTGCCTTACCATTTTCTTCTCTAAACCCAACATACGGCTTCAGTCGAAGTCTTCGTCTTTTGTTCTCGGAATAAAAAACCATTTCCGTTATAGTCATCGCCGCTTTTCTTGACTCCAAGCATCTCTTCCCGGCGGCGTCCTTCCCTAATTTAGTCTTTCCAATGCTACCCATCCCTTTGTCCTTTGCTTTTGCCCAATTTTTTTCCAAGTCACTTGCCCATAAATCCGCCATGTTTGACTTCTGCTGTAAAACATGTCTAATTGCACTCTCCCTTCCTCCTGGCTCCCCCTTTCGAGTCATAAAAAATCTTTCCATGGTGTCTGTTGATGTGACATGGATGGCCCCACGGAGCAAGAGTCTGTCCCGGGCATTGCAAATGTCTTCTTGCCGAAAGCGATTCAGGAGACTCATGACATGACTCGATTTTTGTGTCTGCCTCCCGCTATTTAAAATACTGAGCAAAACCTGTTCCATTACTTCAACTCTCACATACGTAGAATCATCATCACTCGAGCTCATGACATCATCGACGGTATCGCCAAGGAAAACAAACTGACGCCATAGTGTGTCACGAGCTTTCAAATTCGAGATGCATCTGTATCTTTCCACAAGGTAGGTAAGTTGATCCCCGACACTGTTGTCGTAGCTCATGCGCATATTGCTTGTTAGATGGAACTCGCGCTCAAAAACAGCTTTCCGCTGCAACTTAGACGGGAATGTCGTAGTCTCATCCAAAACAATTTTGTGACGACTGTAAAGCTCATCATGGCACTCGACCACCGCAGTGCGGAATAAAGCTGCAAGGGATTCTGAAGACGTTTGTAGCTCGTCATTTGCTCCTTTTTCAAGCTGCTCCGCGCTCTCACCAACATGCATTGATTTCAGCCGAAGTACAAGCCGCAGTGATACCAAATCAATCACACCTTGAACTATTTGCGAATCGCAGAGGGTTGCGATCGCTTTCGGAAATAACAGCTTATCGCTTATCGATACTGAAGGATACTCCTCGTTTTGAGAGACTGCATTGTGATCCAAGTCACACAAAAGCAAATGCCCAGATTGGTTCCGAGGTTGGTTCCCTCTTTTGTTGCTTTTTCGTTCTTGCGTCTCAACTAACGATGCCTTTCTTGGAGAGCAGTGTTTCTCCGACCGTCGTTTGTTAAGAGATACTGTTTTCGAATCCGAGCAGTTTTCGGAATCGAACCATCGCGGTACTTCGAGAACGTCGTTGCAATACGTCTTAGCCCTTCTCTTGACAATTACGCCCAAGGCGGTTACAAATCTCTGAATATCGACCACAACCTCTGTTTCTGGGTCCCGCTTCAGTAATTGCCTTCTTGGTGGCGTTTTCAAAGCTGGTTTCGTCGAGCGCTTCTGCAGCCTTTTCGGTCTACGTGTAGCAGCTGCGGGACGAATGACAGAAGGTGCCCCCCGAGAAAGCCGAAGCGTGCTACCAGAGCTTTCAGCTTCGGATGTTGTGGAGGCCTGGCGCAAACTAGGCACATCCCCCATTTTCAAGTGTTCGAATACATCTTTAGGTATCTCATTTCTTGACCGAAAGCGAGAATAAAATAGAAGCTTCTCGGCAACAACTGTGTTCTTTAGCCTAGCCAATATTGATCCCAGTGCAGGAGCGACTTTTTGGGCATGATCAAGAATTTCTCCAACGTCAAAACGCTTCAAACAGTCAGTTTTGATGTGACTGTTTGCAGCAATTCCTTTGTGGTTCATCTCTACGGGCACCCCAGACATGCGCTGTAGCACCACTTCGTATTGTAGTTGCTCATTTTGTGTAAAGGTATAACCGAATGCTTTCCCCCAACGCATACGAATATATACATCGGGAAGGGCATGTTGCCCAGCTTCACAACGTTCTTCGCCGTGCTTTCCTGTCAGGCTACTGTGTACGAAAGATTTCCGATGCTCAAAGTGCGCAAATTGCTGAAGTTCTTTCCAAAACAAATCAAGTGAAGTCCTGCATGTAAACAAAACACCATGAGGAAACACACCAGTAGGCATCCCTTTGCCAAAGTCGCGAATTATGCCGGAGCCGGCCAATGCAAACTTACCTTCTTGAGCGGATTTCATCAGCTCTAGTTTCATGAGACATTGAACAAGACTTGTAAGTTGTCGACTGGCATGGCTGCTGGCTATCTCTCCCTTCAAAATGTCCTCGACTTCAGAGATTTTCTTCTGTTGGACAGACTCTAAAGCATCGCCGTGATCTTGGTGGATTCCAACAACAGCTGCATAGTCCGCAACACTCATTTGCAGAAGGCAGGACTGAATAGTGAATCTTCCCAGCGCCGGTGCGGCCCTTGCGTTTTCGATACTAATGTGCTGTAGTGCATTTGTTCCTGATCTCACATGGTTTTGCTGCTTGCAAACTTCTTGGTACAGATGTTCATGAAACTTTTGCGCCCTCGCTAACTTCCCCTTCATCCACCCATAATCGACAGCGGTGAGACGATAGATTCTAGTGTTTCGCATGTTGCGCCGCTCCTTGTGCACCACGATTGGGTCTCTCTGTGGAGCTCCAGAAAGACTAGCTGACTGAGAAGCCTGTTCGATATCGCCTTCCAGCCCTCCTTCTGTAATGGTATCCCAAATGGAAGCTGGATTGCTCATTTTCGAGTCCTTCAACTGCCTCTCTTGTGGTTGACTTCGCCTCCGCTTCTTTGTCTTTTCTTCAATTGCACTCTCGGCGATACTTATGTCATCAGCTTCGAGAACAATGACGTCTTCTGCCTTCCGTTTCCGGGGTTTGCGCGGGGTGCTTTGCTTTCCGTGAACATTTTGGGACACTACGACCGACACGGCATGCGCCACTTCTGGGCTGTCCGCTTTTAGTCCAGGAAGCGTCACCAATCGCAAGGTCTGGGCACGTTTCTGGATGCTCGGCTTTAGAGTTGTGAGCACTTGGACCTTCTTTTGCAAAACTAAATCATTGATAATTCGCCTCAAAACTTTTTGATCAACTCGGTCGACGCTCGACTCCGTTTCCCTTTCAGCGATCCGGCGCCCTAACGTTTCGAGCACAATCGCCTTGTTTTCATCTAGCAACTGCAACAAGACGTTGCGTCGCTGGACTCCAAGAGATGTTAACTTATTCCTTTTACGCGGCAAATTCGACGCGCGTTGTGTGCGACCAGTTTTCCGTTCTTTGCCTGAGCCGATCAAGCTCGTTTCACATTCTTGCATGTGACTTCCTTCTTGCTTTTCGGGCTTCTTCGGGGCGAACTCAGCGAGTACGAGTTTTAGGGACATTGCGCTGCCATCAAATTTTTGGGATTCGATAATTGGCACAAATCTCGACATACCGTTGATGATATTTCGAATGCGCTTTTGATGCGCGCTCAGAAGCTTGGTCCCAGCATCAAGCTTGGAAGCTATCTGCGGGACTGACAGTCCACTCGCCCCGGACTCCCGGACAAGATTGTACACCTGCTGGACGAGATCAACTTCCGCGATGTATTCAGCAGTTGAGCCCTTCCAGGGTGGTGTAGCGATACTGATTGGCAACCTTGGAGATGCTACGTGTGGTTTAGTTCCTTCATTGTCTTCGTCTATGTCAAAGTCTTCAACGGCAGCGACCGCCTCCTCATCCTCAACAACAACAGGGGCGACCACGTTTGCTCCATGGTTGGTGTGGGGGATGTTAGCAAGCATGAGACAAGCATGAGAACCTCTGCAGTTGCCGTTGATGTCAATGCATTCACGGTCAACGACAGTAACCAGCTTTGCCTTTTCAAGTCGAATGCGGAAGGCCCGAAAGGCTCTGTGTCTCCTGCGCTGGAAGTCTTCGACGGTGCAAGCTTTGGGGCGCTCATGATCGGGTAAAGCGATAGTTTTGAGGTCCTTCAGGGTGCGAATATACGGGGGTCGTTGCAGGGCGCGAAGGACACGATCGGCACCCTGATTGACGTCGAGCTCGTGGATAGCGACGTCGGCATCGCGATCGGGAGGGACCGAATTGGATTGATAAGGCAAGGGGTCTACTGGGGGTCGTGTGGGGTCGATTCTAGTAGTATTGGTTGGTATGCTAGCATTGGATGATGCCAGATGACTGGCGAAACGAGCAAGGACAATTACTGTGGTGGAGGTGACGCGCTTTTTGAGATCAGAAGGAGAAATGAGTTGGGGTTGGTTCGATAAGTTGGGGTGTTCGGCGGGGGCATTTTCGTGTGTGACCGATGAGGTGAGTTTTGTAGTAGTGAGGACGACGCGTTTGCGAGCCACAAGACGTCTTGCTGTCAATGTGCCGAGATAGTGCGAAACCATGACTGCGGAGAGCGAGACGAGAGGTGCGAGTTTGGATTGCAGAATACCATCTGGCCCTGCACGGCCAACTTGTATCAAGACGCGCCATGCCTGTTCTGGGAGGACAGGATGCTCTATGGCTGAGTAGCCGAGGGCGCGTTTACGCAATGACTCGCACGCAATGAGATGCAGAGTATGAGGTGGTTGAGCCCAGTCCGGGCTGGAGAAGAGGGCGCGGCGGGTGTGAAATTGCACAGAAAGGAAACGAAGCAGTGCTGGACGTGGGTGTGGAGCAGCGGTGGCGGCTGCAGTGACATGGGTTAGGGTTGCTCCTGGGGGTCCGGACAGTGCGAGAACGTCAACACAACGGGCAAAGACTTGATCCATATCCGCGCGGAGAAGGATAGAAGAGAGTTGGCTGAGAGAAAAGGCCGCAAGGTGAACAGAGGTTGTTGTGCACTTTGCAAGCGTTGAACTCACGATCTTTACCAAGGCAAACCTCACCATCACTATATCCTACTACATGTAGATGACTCTGCTGGCAAAGATTGGATCCTTTATCCCCGCGATTGGATCTGGAACCTCCCGCTTACAGTAGATTGGCATGACAGTTACAGTAGACTTAAAGTTGGAATTCAACGCTTGCAACGTCTGAACTCTAGTTTTGCGATCTGTACACGTGTAATAAAAAATCCATCTCGAGACTGTTGTAGCGTAACATTGCTGTGCACTCTGGTCGCGCCAAAATTCTCGCCTGAAGTTTGATTTCGTAGAAAATCGAATTGGCACCAGCATAAATTTAATTTTACCTATGCTGTCGTCAGCACTCTCTCACCACGTAGCCCGCAATTAGCTGTGTCCGGCCGTTATTGACTCATCGGCACTCACTACTGCACCGCGCCTATTCGTCCTGTCCGTCCGACCCGGCCTGCTCTGCAACTCTCTCCTGCTCCTGGCACCGTCTAAACTTTCCACTCAGCAATGCATCCCCCTCCTCATGCCTCCCGCACCTCGTTCATGGAACGATGGTACCCAGGTTTTCGTCTGTCCCCATGCACAGCCGTGCGATTAGCCGGCTTTCTTCCAGTCCTCCTTGTCCTCGGCTTGATCGCCCTTGCCTACATAACCTGCGTTCTTGCCACCCTTGCCCCTCTTCGCACGCTTCACCCCTCCGTTGTCTACCCTCTACTAATCTTTTTCCACTTTATTTATCTAAACGTCCTCGCAAACTACTTACTCCTCGTCTTCGCCGACCCCGGCTCGCCCCCGCCCGATTGGAAAGCCGCCCCTCCGCCATCACCATTCTCCCCCCACCTTCCAACCCACCGCTTCCTCTCCACTCCCGCATTGTCTGCTCACCCCACCCAAGCCCTGCGCGTCTCGACGCCACCAATGACATCCGACAGCGACGACGGCTATCAAGATGCCGGTATGCTACTGCCGCCCCAATCGCACTCCGCCCATCCCCCCAAGCCCCTCACCTCCTCCTTCCGCTACGCCCATCTCATGCGCGAACGCTCCTATGACGGAACTCTCCGCTACTGCCGTGTCTGCGCCGCCTACAAGCCCGACCGCTCGCATCATTGTTCCGTCTGTCGCCGCTGCATCCTTCGCATGGATCATCATTGCGTATTCGTCAACAACTGTGTCTCCTTCTACAACCACAAGTTCTTTATCAGCTTCATTCTGTACGCTTTTTTCGGCTGCCTCTTTGTTGCTATCGTCTCGTTTCCGACATTCGCTGCCGTGCTTTCGACAAGCCCGTCCCATATGAAGCCACACAGCTCGGGGGGCTGGCTCATCGCGAAAGCACGCATGCTTTGGGGGCACACCCCCATCCGCGTTGTCCAGAGGATGGACCTTATCCAGTTTGCAAACTTGCAAGGCATGTCATCGACTCTCAAGACCCTTGCAATGGTGGGCTACATCACCAGCATTGCGTTTGCATTCGCTTTGGCCATTTTTGTCATTCTGCATCTCTATTTAGTCGCCAAGGGCAGAACCACCATAGAAATGTACGAGCTTACGGACCAGATGCGAGTGGCGCGAGTTCTGGAGTACGATTTGGGTTTTGCCAAAAACTTGAGAAAGGTATTTGGTTCCGTTCCATTCTGGTGGTTTTTCCCGACCAGGGTTTACGTCGAAGGGGATGGATTGGACTACGAACGTCGAACTCTCCCTGATCTTCGCCCTGTGACCGTGTAGTTCGCGAGGAGACGGCTAACCACTTTGCAGGGTATAGGTGCGACTGAATTTTTTGATTAGTCGCTTCTGCAAGGCGGTTTTCTTTACTATCTCGCTCCAGCTTCCACCTGAAGAATGAAAAAAGCAGCAGCGACATACATCGTGACTTCTAGCATCGTGATTGATCTAGTACATAACTTTTTACAAGGTGAAAACCATCCGGAAGCTATCGTGAAACCGCAATTTTTCGCATAAGGTCACCTCGCCCACCTGCCAAGGCGACTAATCGCGCAGTTTCCTCTTCTTGGTCGCCATCAATAAGTTTCCGGAGACCTCCTTGAACAAAGGTTGAACATAGAGCCTTCAATTCTGATGAGGTGAGCCGCGGCACGTCAATGTATAGGTTTCTCTTCGTCTGAGAATCTTGGACCCGCTTCCTAAAACTAGCGCTCCATTTTTTGCCACTTGGGTCCGAAAGCGTTTCATTGGAAAGCGGGAAATCAAGCCCAGACCGCACACGCGATTTTCTGTATGGCTCGAAAGCATGCGTCGGGTCAACTGCGAGCATGACGAAGCCGTTTCGCATTTCTTGAGAGGTCTTTTCAATAGCATAGCGCCCAAAATCTTCACCGACTACTCGAATCGCATTGGAATGCATGCGTTGAAGGCGATCGTTGACGAGACATGTCATTCCGACAAATTTGTCGTAATTGTCAATGATGATAGCGACTGGTTTGTCCTCACAAGCGCAAAGTTGGCGAATGAGCTGATGGAAGACCTCTCCCGCGGAAGTAGGAGTTTGCCTCCAGTTGGAATCAATATCACTTAGCAGGCGATCCCCCAACTCAACAAGGTCGAGTAAAGAGACGCAACTCTCGGTGAGCGAGGTGCTAAATTGCGTGTCACACACAATCTGAGCGAGATCTCCGCTATGTGTTTGAAGCAAATCTTTAAATACTTGATGCATTTGATGTGGACGATCGTAGTATCTGACGGCGGAGAGACCATCCATGACAGGGTCCATCTCGTCGACGGCCTTTGCGCAGAAAAAGCCGCGACCGTCGGTCCAGCTTTCCGGGTACGGAATGTAAAGCACAATAAAACCCTTGAGTCGCGCAAAAGCGGCTGTTTGTTCAACAAGGGAAGTCTTCCCGACCCCTTTCGCACCATCCAATACGACCAGTTGTGGAGCGTCCTCTCGTTCTCCTTGTGCGTCCTCATCCGTTTTCGGTAGATAGGGTGCGATCAGTTGCTCACGAATTAGCACGGTAGCGTCACGGACGAGGGTTTTCTTGAAATCCGAATCATCATCTCGGCGGCGTTCTCCCTTGGGATCATCATCTCGACGGCGTTCTCCCTTGGGCGAATCCACGGCAGGGAATACTTCCGGTAAAAGGTGCTTCTTCAATTGCTCCATATATCCACTATTGGCTGAATCCTCCTCTCTTTGAGACTGTGGCTTTGGTATCCTGCTCGAGACACTCCTCGAAAACAATGAGGCCGATGTTTCACGACATGATGACGTTGGTGTTCGCCTGATCCCCAACATCACGAATCTTGGTAGCTGCAGCATCGCAGGCGTGTTCATTTTGAAGTCAGAGGGAAGGTGCTGGTCCCCCCCACTTTTTGGAGTGAAGATGGTCAGACAGATGAGTGAGGTGACACATCCTACTATGGGCAAACTCACAGTCGACTATTGCGATCAGACTCCTCATCTGCTCAAGCCAACAAAAGAAAGAAACCCTTTGAAACGTGTAATTTCGTACAGTATCTCCGTTTGGTCCCGTTCTTGAAGATGACCACGTGTACACGTGCCACTGCGTGTGCTAAAGACTGCTCACTGTTCCGCGGAAAGAGCAAGAAGCATGCGTGAAGAAATCGGGACAAGCATCATCTAACTTTGTTCGCAAGAGGACGGGGCAGCAATTCTTCACCTACTCACACATTTAGTATCGCAACTTTCGCATCGCAATCAATTGCTCTAATTGTCTTGTTCGGTGCACACAGGTTCAACGCATTCTCACGCCTGTCCTTTGCCTTGGCACAACAAAATGATTCACAGCATCTTTATTCTCAACAGTACAGGCGAAGTCATCATCGAAAAGCACTATCGGGGCAACACCAGTCGCACGGAAAGCGGTGCATTTTGGAATCAAACAGCCAAATCCGCGCGCGGCATTCCCATCGACGCGCCCCCTTTCCTCCCCACCCCGAAAGGCGCCCTGATCCATCTGCACCGCAACGGCCTCTTCTTCCTAGCCTCCGTCCTCACAGACACCCAACCTCTCTTCGTGACCCAATTCCTCGAGTCTCTCGCCGATGTCTTCGTCGACTACTTTGGGGAGCTCAACGAGCACGCCATCAAAGACAACTTCATCACTGTGTACGAGCTCCTTGAAGAAATGCTCGACAACGGCTTTCCGCTCACTGTCGAACCAAACACACTCAAAGAACTCATCACCCCGCCCTCCATGATCAATCGCGTCTTTGAATCGCTCGGCGCCGATTCGGCCAAGACGGCTACCATGTCCTATGCCTCTCCGCGCACCCCATGGCGCCGCGCAGACGTCAAGTACGCCCAGAACGAAATCTTCGTTGACGTCATCGAAACCATTCACGCTACCTACTCCGCGACTCGCCGTAACCTTTCCCAGCTTCTCATCGCCGGTGTCGTCAAAGTCAACTCTAGACTCTCGGGCAACCCCGATCTAGCGATGCGCATTCGAGCAAACGCACCATTTGATGACGTCGCTTTGCATCGCTGCGTCCGTCTCAACAGATACCAAGAGTCTGGTCAACTCGCCTTCGTCCCGCCTGACGGCCCGTTCAAACTGATGACATACAAGATCCGCGAAACAAACTCCCTCAACTTACCAATCGACGTTCAATCTCAGATCAAATTCGACCATAACGCGTGCTCGGGCTCGGTATCCATCTCGCTGGTGCCTCGGTTCGCCTCCGCCGTCGCCCCCTCTTTGTCTGGTGCTTCGTCGGTTCCCTCCGGCTCAATGATTCTCTCGCAAGTAATGAACGCGGCGGGCGGCAAAGCGATGGGACTATCAGAGCCCGACTCCGTGATGGACCACGTAAGCGTGCGCATTCCGTTCGGTACATTTGTCACCGGGTGCTCTTTGAGCGCCAACTACGGCACCGTGCAGTTCGAGTCGACAACTGGAACATGTACATGGAACGTCGGAGCTGTGCCGCGGGGAAAGACGCCATCGCTCGTGGGGCAAATTACGCTACAGGATGGGTCGGCGGCCGTTGCGGCCAACCCTCAGATTTTGGTGAGCTTCCGCATCCCCGGTTACTCGACGTCGGGGGTGTTCGTTGAAAGCTTGGACATGTTGCCGCCAGAACGGTACAAGTATTACAAGGGATTGCGGTGCATCACAAAAGCAGGCTTGTATGAAGTACGGACGTGACGTGTATCTTTATTAGGCACAATAGACGAAGAGAGGCAAATGATCTACAGTAGATAGGGGGTTCGAAATGTTTCTGTAAATTACGTCAAGATCTTTGGCCACCAAACACACAGCCCACTACTATCCCTTTCTACCGCGGCAGTTCCCTGTCTGCTGCTTCCAGCTCGCCGTGTCCCTCATTAGCAGCGCTCACCACGCCAGAAGCGAAACACACAGAACTACCCCGTGCCATTCCGTCGCGCGCACTTGTCCGCTCAGACACACACGCACGCACGTTTGCAGCCATGCTTTCCTACGAAGGCGTCATTCGCAAACGCCTGCGAATCAAGGGCCACCCTGAGATCCCCCCTTACGAACGCGGGGAGGAAAAGGCCACGATTTTCGCAAGCGCGGACATCGAGCCTGACGCCCCACAAAGCGAGGCGCGACCAGCGGACGAGCGCGCCGTCGACGCCGACGAAGCGCAGTATGACGACGTGGACGAAGTCGAACCCGCCGTCGGCAACTTAGCAGATGTAATCGGCGTGCAGGAGGTTAAGGACAAGCGCACCGAAGCGCAGAAACAGCACGACGAGATACTGCAGAAAAGAGAGACTGAATTGCTCAGGAAGGCCGCCACAAAGTCACACAAGGAACAGGTCGAGGTAAGCTGCGCGTTTTTTTGGTGCTCATGGCGAAGACTGTGCGTGCAACCATGGTTTTGTTTACTAACGGCGTGCACTGCATACCGATTATTGTGCGTTCCGTTCATGACAGGGCTTCAACAAGAAGCTGGCGAAGGAACCCGAGCATTACGACTTGTTCAAGACCAGCTTCACCAAGTAAAGCGGGCACGCTTATCTGTCCATTTCTCGTTAGGTTCGATTCAACTACAAGTAGCCAATCCCCTCATTACCTCACGTAAATGCACACACCGAAATGTAGAATGTAGCAAACGGCGGCCCCCCTTACCACTTTGCCACGACTGAAAAAGCCTTGAGCACGAGAAGCTCCTCATCAGGTCCTCCCTCTAACTTCTCCGCGCCGTAGTCGTCCTTCCACATGACCTGATCCCCCGGGGCGATGTGAATCTCCTCGATCTTCCCTTGCTGCGAATACCGCCCTGGCCCGACGGCGACGACGGTTCCAGTACACTGCTCCTTCTCGCTGTCGCCGCCCAGAAACAGACCGCCCTTCGTCTGGCTGGCTGCCTTGTCGACACGCACGATTACCCGATCAGCGATAGGCTTGACGGCGGAGCAGCGGGGGAGAAGGGTGCGTCGAGGGGACTTTGCGCTCGACCTTGCGCTCGGGCGCAGCGCTAACCTGGAGGCTGGGAAGCTTACGAAGGCCATTTGGAGTGTTGTTGCGAGTCTGGGACGGGTCGGCGGTCGGGGAGGTTGTTTCGGAATTTGGCAGATTGTTGAGCAGATCTCGGTTACGTCCGGGAAGTGCAAATAGCTGCAGTGTCCCTGCTGGACAGCCAGAGAGACAACGTCTCCCCTTTTCTAAAAACGAAAATTTTCTTCCTCATTTTTGGGCGAACTGACGGAATTCCAGCAGCAGTCAAATTAGTACAGTTTGCACAGGTCTTATTCCTCACGGAGCAAAGAATCTACCGAGTTTCTCCGGAGTACCCTTGCAGATCTTTTCCTAGTTTCTGTTCAGAGATTCCCCTTGTCGCCCTCTCAACCGCCGTGCCTCGTTGCTTCACTCACGGTCCGCAGGCCCACCTTCCCAACACCGTTGCTTGGTCAGGCCGACCATGGCCTTCTCTTTCACATCCCTCCTCCTTTCCAGATAGCCCTGCACTTCAGCCCTACGCTCCCACCAACAACTCATTTGCGTTGCACTAACTCCCCCTCATTGAAAGCTCCACAAATCATGGATTTAATCGACACCGTGAGCAAAAAGCTTGCCCGTCAAGACATTCAACTCTCCGTCCTTCACGAGCTCCTCCAACACTCTGCCCGCGGGATTGACATTTCCTCCAGCGCTGAGCGCGTCGTTCGTTACTGCCTCCACTCCTCTACCGGCACCACACCCCAAATCCTGTCCCTCGCTCTCGACGTCCTTTGTGCCTCTCCCTCCCACGCCTTCTGGGTCGACACCCTCTCGGTCATCATCGAAAACATCCAGCGCTCAGGAACTTCTGCATGTCTTGTGGTCCTTTCCAAAATCCAGAGCCTTCCGCATGCCGCGCTTCAGCACCTCCTGCTCTACGCCACAACCTCGCTCATCAACGAACTGGAGGAGGACAAGAGCCCCGCCATTCGCAAAGCCGCCGCTTTTGCTATTGCTTATGCCGTGCTTCGCCCAAAGCCTCTCACAGCACCCTTCACAGAGCCCATTCGCCTGGAACAGCTAAATGACGACCAGGTCGGGATTATCAAGCGATCCATCGAACGCTTGCTCTTCGCGCTTTTGCGCGCCGTTTTCGATCGTGCGGACGAGGTCGCCGTTGCAGCACTTTCGTGTCTCACTCAGTTTTCGATCGATTCTGACTCTGTCTTGGAGAAGTCAGTTCTCAACAAGACGAGGGAGGCAACCGCCCACGCCGTATGGGAAATTCTCGTGTCCAATTGCACGAAAATTGCTGAACGATTCACCCCTCTCATCGGAAAGCTCCATGAGCCGGAGCCGTCCGGCGCGACAACGACGGGTGGAAGACAACTCCTGAAACGCCACAAGGAAGCTATGAAATGTCTTGCTCGGCTCGCCGCACGGGCGCTGAATAACAACTACATCAGGATTCTGAATCGGCAAGAGCAGCAGAATGCGCTGCAAGTCGTTCCAATACCAGCTCCAGTACCCGGTATGACAAGTGCGGCAGGCGCTGTGCAATGGGCTGCAAAATGGGTAGGGAACATGCTTGCGCGCCTTTGCGATGTCAGTAGTGCTGAAATCCAGGCTGCAGCATGTGCGGCAATGCTTCTTATATGCAGTCATGCTGTCCAAAATCCGTCGCTGGAGAAAGTTGCACAGTGGGGTATTAAAGCAGTTAACAGACTTTCTAGACTCCTGTACGAAACTGATGGCAACATTTCTCTTGTGGTCATGACAGGCATTGTACGCGATGCCACTCACGGGCTTGCTGCCCTGAGCAAGAATGACTACGTCACAAGCAAATTTGTGGTGAATGCTGCCACTGGACTTATTCCTTTTGTGAACAAGTGTCCGCGACGGGAGGTACGGTTAGAGGCCATGAGTGTGATTGCTTCGACTGTGATAGAATATGATCTTAGTGGTCGAGACACGGGTGTCGGAACGTCGATGAAGGCCGTTATGTCATCCGACGCGTGGAGGTCCACTGTGAGCAATGGCACGACAGACTCAAGCGTCGCATCAGAAACGGTCTGCTGCTTCTCACAAAGCATTTTAGAGTCGTCGAGAAAGATATTTACCTGTCCGGACCGGGATTTACGAACTAACCTGACACATACATGGGCAGTCATGCTTGCCCAGCTCATGAGCCGAACGCATTCGTGCTTGAATTGGGAATACTCCGCAACCTCAAAGTATGCCAAGGAACTGTACTTGAAACTTTTTGATGCACTGGGGCAATATTCTGCGTTTTTAAGACGTGAGCAAAATGCCGGAATGGAGGAGTATGATCGCATACAAGAGTCCCTTGCCAAGGAAACCCTAGAGCAAAAAGATGCAGCTACAAGAGCGTCACTTCTCATATGTATCACTAAGTACTGGGTAACAAGTGGCATCAAAGCCGAGGCCAATGCAGGGCATGTACTCAAAGCCATTTGGAAGCACGCTCAGGAGCACTATCGCGACGAGGAGGTTATGCTGAAAGAGCTAAGGACCGGAGCTCTTTGGAGCGATGCTCGACAAGGATTCCGCACACCAGCACAACGTGCTGTAGAAGGTGGGTACGTTAGTCTTGGTACCGCCCTGACGGCGCACACAAGATCTATTGTCAATACAATGAGTACAACAATTTCATCGGCGATTGAATCCACTCTTTTCGGCAGTATTGCACTTGCGACTGCCGCTGGGGAGGGTTCCACATTGACTACTGATTTAGCGTATTCAAGCGTGTCAGCACTCCTGGCTCTTGTTGCTCAGAATCCTGGGATGGCTGAGAAGGCGCTCAAGGTTTTGAAAAAGTACATCGGCATCATGGAAGAAGCAGAGAGCTCGGATTTCATTGTTCTGGAAACTATCCGCAATACGATTGCCGCAGTTGAAATGTATCGAGACGACTTTTACCCAAAGCCCGTTCTTGCCAGGCACCTCCCAGGTCTGTCGTCCGCACTGGAGCCTCAGCAGGTGCAAGACAGCAAGGACCCTTTATCGTGGATGAGAAGTATAACTGAGAGCTGTGTCTTTTCCACGTCAAGGCTAGAGGATCCAACACGAGAAGCGTCAACGGTTGCAACAGAAGAATCTGTTTTGCACATGGCAGCTCTGGCCAAGAAGAGAATGTATTCATTCTGCCCAGCCACGCTTCAAAATTTGAATTCGAGTATCAGGCTGATATCTGAAGGTGATCATCAAATTCTGAATGGCGCATCGGACCCGTTCGGCGTCGTCGCAACGCATTACATGGACACAGTGAAAAGCTTGGCTTTACTTCGCGTCGAGATCACAAATAGATCATCTTTTAAGGTTTCTAATGCGGCTTTAACGTGTTCTTCATCGGGGGCCTTGATGCCATTGCCAGATTCTGCCAACTGGTATCCACTTGGGTCAATGGGCCCGAGCTCTACCGTAAGCCAGAGGATTACTTTATCGGTGAGCACGAACCACGGCTTTGCCGGAAGAGTGTTCTTTTCGATACATACGTGGCCAGAAGGTTCTGAAGGCACTACTTCTGAACAAAGCTGCATAGCGTATCGTGTTCCCAGTTCGGATGTCCTACTCCTTCGTAAGCCTGCTCCTAAGGCAGGGATGGACGTATTTCGCCGTCGATGGGACTTGATGAGATACTCAATGTCATTCCAAGTGCTACTTCGAAAAGACCAATCTGTTGATTCATTCGTCAATACTTTAGAGAGACGAAGCAAATGCTTACGCCAAGTTGGGCGGATGAGAACATACTCCCATGTTTGTGCTCTTGTCGCAGATTCTTCGAGGGGTGACTACATTGCAGTTGCTCTTTTGGCCCCAGAGGCCCATGGGAACGCAGGGCGAGGACCATGCATGATATATGTGACTATCAGATCAAACTCTGTGGGATACAATTCAACTTTCCGGGAAGAATGTCGATTGTGGCTATCTCCTCGATATCGGGTACTGTTTCCCGATGATGATTTAACGGGCGAAGCAAAAGCCCTAGCCCTAAAACCTCAAGACGCTTACTTTATTACCACCTCACCATCCAACTTGTCTCCTTATCAGCGCTGGCGCGCTGCACACGCCGTTCGTGTGAAGTATTAAAACACACGTTTATATTGTCTATTGTATGTGACAAAGCAGACCCTCTAAACTACAGATTGAGATAGCTACATCAATCGTTCAGTAGTTTCGAAAAGCCTAGAATCTGTCCGACAAGGGCTGGTGGCAATGCGCCGTCAAGTGTTGAGCGGTACCAGCGACTACTGTTATAAGCGTTCCTGGGTGATCTACTTACTCAGCGTGCACGTAGTTAGAGTTGTAGAGAGCGTTTACATGTTTGTGCACAAGCTTGCTAGGTTAACCGTTCAGATGAGAGAATAAATCAGCAGGGGGTTTTGCTACAGTTTTACCGAAAGTGGTTTCGCCTGTGGTGAAGCAAGTTCTCCACGCCGTGGTTAACGGCATGTCCTCGAAGTGGCGGGCGATCGTTCGTTTGGCGGTCATGTCTTGTCTTTGCCCGAATCTTAGAGAGCTCGGCATTTGAATACGAGTGAGCAATAGAGACGGCTTCATACTCTGCAAGAACTTTCTTCAATTGCTTCTTCAGTGAAGCTATCTCCTTGGATTTGTCTTTGAGCTCCTTTTTCGCCTTCTTGAGCTCACCACCAAAGACTGCGACCCTCTTCTGTGCCACCTCAACCTCGTGGCGACACTTCCGCATCTCTTCAATCTTCTGCGGCTCAATTCGTTCGAGTTCTTTTGTGAGTTCCAGGACAGTACCTCGGAGACAATCGTGTGCCTGCTGTTGAATTGCAAGGGTACGCAGGAGCTCCTTTCCGGCCGCATCGAATCGATCATTCTCTCTTCGCACACAGTCCAACTCGGTGGACAGGGAATCGTTCTCGTACTCATCAACGACAGTGAAACTTTCAGCCTGTTTGCGTTTGTCCTGAGATGACGTAGTCGTTGCGGAGATGTCAGCGAAACGTCTATCGCTCTGGTGGTTACCGGCGCCAGTACACCTGACGTCCACTCCTTTGCCAGAATGTCCAGAGATACTCTGTACACTTTTTGCGTCACGCGCAGAGACAGAAAGCCTCCTCTCGATATGGCTAGCGACCACACATGCGGCCTCTCCAGCTTGCTGTACGCGAAAGCTAATGTGTTTAATGTGTTCATCCATGGACATCCTCTGCTTTGTTCCTCTCGCTGACCGGGCTTGCTCTTTGGCTTGATATCTTGCCAAAAGCTTCTCATATGTATCCATAAGCTCCTTGTTGTCCCTCTTTAGTCGCTCCACAAGCACAGATTGTGCACGATAAGCCCCTTCTCTCGCCGTAAGAATGTCGCACAGGCTTTTGGGATCCATCTCTGCGAGTACGGCTTTTTTCAACTCGCAACTGGGTTCATGTTCAATGCCGGGAAGGCCGTCAATATTTTCCTTTCCTCCGGCGCATTTGCAAAGACCAAAAGAACTCTTGCCGGGGCGCGACCTATTAGATGCTGCGTCACTCTTTCTGGCAGTGAGTGCTTCCTTCGCCATAGAGTTTTGATGTGCCTCTTTGGCCATCTTCAGCTCCTTGCGCAAAGATGCAATAGTCTCGTCTTTTGCATCAGCACGATGCTGAATCTCTGCACGACGATTAGACTCCCGCATCAACTCTGAACGAGCGTGAGAAATCTCATGAAGAGCCTGGGAGAGATCTTTCTTTAAGGACTTGAAGTCCGCATCAATTTGGCCATCAATGTGAAGAAGCTTTTGGAGGACAGCTTCGACGCTCGGGGAGGATGTGGAAGTTAGCTCATCCGCCACAAGTTTGATGGATGCAGTGGAAAAGGGGCGTGAAGAACCGCCCATGCTGCGCGGGATGGATTACCGTTGTGATGCAATGTCTGTCTCGAGGGACGAGAGTGGTGGTGCTTGATGATGAAAGTTGCCGGGAAAGGGGGTGGGAGGGGGGAGGACGTATATCAAGAGTTGTTCGACAGGATCATGTGTGTTAATATTGATCCACCCCTATCCCCCATCCTGTCACTCAAATTACGACATTTTGTCAGGTCCAAAAATAGGCTCAATACCGAGGGAAGAGAGTTACGAAAAATACATCCGTTGAGAAACCAGGAGAAGGGTGGACTATCGCAGAAACGTGATGATCGGACTGACACATTTCAAATTTTTGAGTTTGAGTTTTGAAGAGAGCGGTTACGTCATGTCCGATAGAGATCATACGTCAGCGCGACTACATCTTGACAGCAATGCGCCCCGTCCGCGTATGTATGGTACAGTAATGACTGTCTGTGTACAAGTATACTGTAGCTCGGTCGATCTATTTCACTGGCACAATTTCAAATTTTGTCCAATTTTCTGGACAGCTGCAATTTTCTATTGGCTGTTCTTTTATTCTGTACTGAACTGCTAATTTATAGCAGTGCGAACTGTCCATGGATACCACGAACCAAATTTCTGTGTTAAACATGAACACTTTCAAAGTGACAAAGTCTTGAGAAGCTTCGACCGTCGACCCTACGACAAGGCGCTGTCTGAACGCAGATTATCTCAATCTCTGATCTTGAGATCATGGGCATTACTCTCTTTGCAATAAATAGTAAGGAACCGTAGCAATCAATGAGAAGAATTCGGTGGCACGCCCGCCTTCTCTGCATTGGGATGCAGCTTTTTCAGGACATTCTTTTTGTTAACGCATGGTCTTGAGGATAATGCATCCTAATCATCCCACTTTCCACTCCTAATTGTTATCCTTCAGACTTTCTCTCCGGATGTGCCTCCTTCGTTTAACCATAGCACTATCCGCACCTAGTTGAAGCTTGTCAGGGCGCTTAAATTTTCTTAGCCCTTCTCGGAATTCTCCTTGTTTCAAAACTTCTAGCAATAAACATTTACATACCCCCAAAAACGGGTAGTCCTGGTTCCGTCTCTTCGCATTTCTTTGCCTGTTGGGTATTACTTTTGAGTTCTTGGATTCCAAGCAATGCAACTATGTACCGAAAGCCGTTTGTCTTCAAGGAACAGGGATAGGCTCTCCTTTCGAAAGAATTCTGATGTCCATGATAGAACCAACATACAAACCCTCAACCAATCTCGTCTTCTCACGTTAAGAAATCCTCATGCCATCAATTTTCATTTGAGTATCTCTTCTAAAGTAAGAGACAGGAGAGATGGTCAAACCATTTCTGGGTCACGGAAAGGGATTCTTGCTTCAATAATTCATACACGAAAATTAATTTTACTGGCGGGGGATAACACCTTCCTAGGGCTACGATGAGAGTTGTTCCGCAAATCGCAAACACTCTATTCCCTTTTGTAAACTGAAAAATGCTACAGAGAGAGGCTTTACATTTTTGACATAGGAAACCGAAATTCACTTCCGTCGGGAGCCCCGATCCGGAGAACATGAAAACAAGATATCGCAGCATGGCTTGGAAGGGGCTTAAAGGGAAGAGACAATGGAAGAGAAAAGCATGGAACTCATTGCTCGCTCTCGGAAGCGAGAGGGTGGTGACACACGCTTTGCAAGGCTCGAATTTTGGAAATATGAAGCTTGTCTTTCGAGAGGTGAACGATAGGATAGGGATTCGCCTGGTGATGAGAGAAGCCATGCAACAAATCAGCTTCATATTCTTGAAACAAAAACGCCCTGATTCTACAGCAACATTCCACTATTTCTTCCAGCAATTAAGTACTTTTCCTGAAACCATTGAAAAGTTAGTGGATGAGTTCTGGAATTGAAATATTGCTAGTGACTGCGTATTTAATTGTCAGCTTGTGCATAAAACCCCCCTTTTAATCATGTGAACTTGTCAAAGCATTCTTTCATCTCTGAAGCACATCAAGCATGCCCATGTGACGCTCAGTTATTTTCTAGTCTCAAATTTCAGCATCTTCCTCCCTTCAACGTCGGATTCGTCTTGTTAAGAACTTGCCGAACAATTTCTAAGCAGTGCAGATTTAAAGAAACGCAATGCATAGTTTTGCGATACTATCTTGACCCCTTGCGCAAATGCGTGACCGGTGCAGAATATATCGAATCAAGCATTGCTACAACAGGACCAAGCAATATCAATATTCGACAATGGATCAAAGTCGGAATGAAACCCTTTCGGGGTTCTGTAAAGGGGTTCTGTAAAGATGAAGCTTTTAATGCAGAGTACTACTGTACAGTACTTCTAAATGTCGTACTCCTTGTTTTTTGTCGATGAGAACTTGGCAAGGCACCGAGTTACCTTTGATAGAAAAGTAGTTTAACCTAGAACAAAGCACGCCATGCAAACATGAGCATGAACATATCATAAGCTTACATAAAGAAGGAAGGATGTGCTTATCCTGGACATGTTTTGGGACATTGGTCATCCTGATTCCTTATAACAAAGAAAAACAATTTTATATGGGCATATTGTAGCCCAACTTGATTCGTTCAACAAGAAAGAAGAACATGCGTTTAGAGCCCTGTTGCTCTACTCATTAGTCTTCGAAGATGACTGGGGCGTGAGAGAGACTTTCGTCGTTTTATACATTTTGTTTCACACTGTGCTGCATCATTTGAGGGCCCAACTATCACAAAGAGGTCGACCGCAGCCCTCTAGGGGACCTGAGGGATATTGTGGCCCTCAGAGCATGCAGATTCTGGGACTATTATTCTTTCTTGCTCCTGAACATGATCCTATTCCCGTGGTGTAGAGGAGCGGCCCTCAGGGCCGCAGCACCGCAACACAATCACACTCGAAGAAAACATATGAACCTCCGGGAAGCGCGCATTGTAAGGTAGCAAAAAGATGTCTCGAGTCTTTACCTGAAGATGGATACACTTGTGTGCTGCACCTGCAGACTATATTGCAGGCCCAAACTCATGATTTCATGTCGGTTGAGGCTGCATTGAGACACAAATGAATATCATGCGTCTGGCTTAGACTACACGGCATTGCCGTTGGGGACAAACTGAGACTCAGCTGAATAGTTGTCGCGCACATGTTACGGCGGAACACAAGCGCGATGCAATATTTAACTCATCATTTATTTCCGCGCCCAGGGAGTCGTGGAAATTATTCTGTCCATCAAGGCCCATCCTTGCGTACCGCGTGATGGCCCGTGGGAAAGTGTAGAACGACGTCTGCATCTGTGTACAGTACCCTTTGTCATGCGTTCCACGTGGAGCAACCCTCCGCTTTCGCTCAGATGGCATGGCACAATCGCACCATAGGCTGAGAGGTCGTTGTTTGGGAGCACACACTGGGCCAACTTTGTGAACCACCGCGACATAGAATATCTAGCAGGTAGAGTGACTGGAGCATCAGACTCTCACTTAGTACTGCTAAAATGTGTTTCTCCCTCTGTATATCTGGGGCCCTTTAAACCCCTTGCTGCGGGCAGAAACCTACTGTAGGCCATGAAAGTCCCAGAAAATCTCCAGACGAGATGCAACCGCAGACGAGGGAGAAAGTTCGAAACTGGCGCCACCGCTGTATGCCTTCGAGTGCATTATGCGGCCCTTTATGCTGGACAAGGACATAATTTAGTCAAGCGTTTCTCGAAATCATTCGCTCTGGGTATGTGACTTAATTGAGATAACTCATGTCCCGCAACCTTGCGACGTCTTCACGACCGCTGCACCAAACTTTCTTCCTTTTCGGACTGCTCCTTTTTTTTGAAGCGCAAGATCTTCGATGCCCTAGTTCTAGCGCTGTGCTGTCAGTTACCCGAAAAAGACTTTCCTTATCAGCTGCAGCTTGTGTCGATCTCTTATTCTACGAAAGTACACTTAACCACTGTTCGGCTTCCTCATCGCCGCATGGTCTGTACATTTGCACACCACTCATCCACCTACTCGTTCTGTTTTTCGTCGTTTTATCCTTCTACGCTTACTTCATATTCGCTTGAAACCAATTCAGAAAGGAGGAGAGCACCCTTTCAATTAAGTAGCACTAACTGCTTTCAAGCCGAGCAGCTGCCTTTTATCGAGCAACAGACCATTTTTCTTCGCATCTCGCCACCTGATGCCTCGCCAGAAAACTTTCGGTGTATACCTCTACGTCCAGGTCCGTGTTTGTGGGAACGTTCTACCACACCTGGTACCGCACATGCTCCAGCAGGTTCCTGTTGGTGATCGCTCTTATCTATTTCGAAAGTATGAAAGATGCTTTTCGGGAGCGGATGCGGTAAGATTCTTTCGTGCGAAGGGATACGCCAGATCAGAAGGAGAGGCCGTTGCGCTTGGGAATGTTCTGCTTAGGTCGGGTTTGTTCCGCCATGTCAAAAACGAGCATCTGTTTAGGAATGGAAACTATTTCTACAGGTTTGCAGCTCATGAAGAATACGCCATTGAGGAAGAAACACTGAACTTGAGGAGTTCCCGTCTGATGACTGTCGCTTGCAGTTCCTACATGCACATCCCCGAAATTACAAGGGTACAGTCCATTCCAATTCTCCCGGATGGTTCTGATGGTTATGAAATGAGCCGATTTATCGAGGGTTCGCTCTTAAGCGATTCGCAGCCCGAGTATTCTGAAGCTGACGTCCTGGTTCAGACGGGTATTCGAATAGGAGCGAATACCTTTCCAGACCTCGTCAGCGAATTCGGGAATGCCAAAGATCTGATCGCAACGAACATTTCAAAGGGGAAAGTTCTTGAGAAGTCTTTCACTGGTACACAGGCAACAGGATGGCTTTTGCGACACAGCTATGCCAATACAGCAGAAGAAGCTATTCATATTGGAAATGCCATGATGTCGTCCGGCGTCTTTTTTCCCTTGCAGACAGAGCGTCACGGCTTCGAGTGTAACTCTATTTATTATCGCATGACAGCAGATATGGACATTACGAAAGAACTGAGGAGAGGTGCTAGAAAGGACAACTTCCTGAAATTCTTCGGTTTTGATAGAACAAAGGCAGAGAGAGGTCCCAGCAGGCAAAGTCCTTGGTTTGAAGACGAAATTTTTTTTTCATCTGCTTCAAGTGGCAGTTCTGAGCGTGTTTCATAATGCTTCGTTGAAGCAAAGCTCGGGTAGTTTCAACCTGAAAAAGGGTTGCAATGTTATTGTAAATTCATTATATGGTCTAAAGGAATAGATACAATTACGTATATTTATATGATGGTCACGTTGTCAATAACGCCACCAAAATCACAAATGAAATATTCAACAAGCGAATTGCGGAAGAAGAGGAAACGGTAGTCAGTTTTTACCAAGACGTCGATGGAGTAATTCCATGTAACTTCGGAATATCCGATGGTTGAATTAGAAGGCGAGTTCGAAACGGAGAGCCAGGGCCCGGGGGATCTCGAAGGCTGCAGTTCGAGTATAACATTGTTGTTTCTGCACCCTTCATTGGCAACCACTGTGATTTTGACTCATGGTTGTCTCATTATGTATACAATTGTGCGAGTACTCCTTCATAATTACACTGGGTCGTTGATTTCGCGTCTAAAAATGTTCTTTTATGGCTTCATTAATTCTAGAAATGCATGAAACGTGCTCCCAGTGTGATCGCCAAATTGAATAAATTCTTTATAAATGTAGGAGCATTGCGATCTATCTTGTTTTCTAAACACCAGCCACAGGTACTTCCCTTTTCTCATAGACGGCATAAGTCCATCGTTTTCGGTAAGAATTGTTTGAAAGAGCGCACTTCGTGTCCACTTTCTAGCACTTGAGAGTTTTTTTACTGTGTCGGACATCCCCGAACTGGGCTGTAGTACAGAAATACCTTGTCATCGTACGGGCATTCTTGCCATTCTTTGTTGTATCCGCACGAAGTTGCAGTATAAACGTCAAATGAAGCCGGCAGGCCTGGCGGAGGCGTGGATGAACGCGAGAGCTTTGCAGTAACTGCATACGTAGTACCAGGAGTGAATGCGACCCCACATGCCTGAGCAGTTTTCGGAGATTTGACAATGATGTATTGGCTGCTGGGGGTGCAACCTCGAAAGACGACCTTGACTTGCATCACTGTGTAGACGTAGTGTGCGTCACCGACATCCCTTTCTTCAATTGCGTCAACCTTGAAAATTGGGGATGAATCTTCTTCGAATCCGTCTTTAACGCTTGTAGGCATTGAACAAGAGCATGATGGAGTTGTCGAAGCAATTTCCAGAGGAGAGACGTTTGATGAAGACTGAGCGATAATAACGGAAAGAAAAGACAAAATGAATGCCACGGCAGTCACGAACTTCATCATTGAAAGGCCGGACGGAAGTCAATTCCGGCTGTTGCTTGATCGAAAACCCTGCAACAAAAAGGCTATGAAGAGAGTTCTCGATGCCAACTCCAGTAAGTTCCCAAAAGTTCTTCCCAAAGCAAACCGTTATGAAAAAATCTTTGAGAGGCCTGGACATGTACTCAATTCTGGACTGGAAAATGGTTGACAGAATGGGACTATTTCCGGTACATCTGCCAGAAGAATGTACTGAAACAAGGTTTGGGATAGCAAACGATGTATCCAGTAGTGTAAATGTGTTTTATTGATGAAGCGCAAAAAGCCAACAACGACATTTCCAGAGGCCCATAAAAGATTAGCAAACGACCGAGGGTAGGTGTAATGGGCTTCATGAGTCTGTTGGAGACTTGGGACGCAATGCCCACCATAGAAGGGATTCGTTAATATCGCAAAGCCCCAATGAAAAGAAGCAACTTCTAACCTGAATGTTGCGTTTGTCTAGCTCGCACTTCCTTTCCTCTTTCATTTCATAAACTCCCTGGTTTTCAGGGTATCTGTTGCATGCGAAAGAGATTCTTCGCCATTTACTGTCGCAATTGCGAAAAGTTATTCTGGGTCCACATAACATCGTAAAAATTATGGGCAGAATACAGAAAAAAAACAGCGGTTCCATAAGGTACATAATCCACGATGTACTGTAGTGCTTTGCGAAAAATCTAAAAGACTTACAATTAAACAGGCGATTAACACCGCCTGTTTAATTGGGTAAGTCTTCCCACTGCACGACTCAACTAGAATGCGCTGATAAGCAGGAGTCGCCATTCATTGACGATATGATTCAGAGAATGTACTCAGCACAAAATGCACCTGCTTAAATGAGGTGAGGGCTGAATGACACAATTGTCGATATGTCAATACCCTGCCACAGAGAGGAAGAGTACCAGGTGCTTGGAACGGAAAAATGCGAGAAGAGTGTGGAAGATCGCAGTTTGCTTTTTGAGATGACTTTCCGTGTTTGCCAGTGCTCAGCAACTTTGAATATATATTATTTCACAATCGGAGCGCGGCAACCTTTTCTTTCTATCGAAGGAGACGATTCTACAAGTGCTTGGTTTGGTTTTACTAGGGAGAGGTTGCATCTCCAGTGAGGTTCTCCAAGAAACGTAGCCTTGTTCATTCGGACGTTTGTCCTGGAGGGGAAAACCGCAGTAGCATTGCGGTCCTATTTGACTGATTGGCTAAGAGCTACTGTCAAATAGGACACAAACCGCATACCACCACTTTGCTTTGCATTTTCTTTCGATCCTAGGACAATAATTTCTCCAAAATTCAAATCGAGAAAGAGCCGGGCGCGAAATTTCCTTGTCCTTGAGCTAAAATCGAGTGCAGGTGTGTGATCATGTCTTCCGGTAGACTAAAGATCGGCCAGACGATGACATGCGATCTTATGGCACGGCAGTGCGCTGTCTCAGGAACGTAACGATCAAACAAAGAGTTAACAATAATTCTGTCTTCACGCGTGAAGTGAAACACTCACAAGGCTTGAAACAGGTATGGCTGCAATTGTCATGAGATATGACAAGAAATTGGCCACCGCTCGACCTCTCAGACTTCTGCAGCCTCCACAAGCCCTTGACCTGTCCAACCCAGCCTTGACATAACCATCTTTTCAGCTTGCGCCATCTGAATCGGCCAGCGTGGACACACAAACAAAGAAAACCATTGTCAGAAGCAGCTGGCAACCCAAACAGCAGTTGCTCGCATCCCTGAAGAAGAAATTTGCAAGCACACATCCCCAACTTACATTGTGTCGCTCATCGTCGTCCTGGTGGTCGAAGCCCAATAAGTGCAGCACGCCGTGAAGGAGCAACACACGCAACTCATCGTTAAGACTGATTCCCCTTTTATCCGCCGCTCGCTTTGCAGTTTCCATACTCACAACAATATCCCCCAGCACTTCCCCGCTAGCGCCGTCCTGCTCGAATGATAGAACGTCTGTTGTCAAATCAATACCTCGCCAACGCAAGTTCAAGTCTCGTATAATTTTATCAGATACGAGGGATACGGACAGCTCCGCTGTGCTTTTGGGTGTCAGAAAAGCCAAAAGTCTTGCAGTGTCTTGCTCGACGCTGTCTTGGATGTCTTTGTGCGGGAGTACATCCTGAAGGGATACGTCCACTCGAGAAACTGCTGTGATTCTGTGTGCTTCGTCTGATAGGGAGGCCCTAGTCATGCGCGGTATGGTTTTCGTTCCTCCTCTAATTTCCTTTTTTCGCAGCATGCACATCGGTGTGGAAGTCAGCGTCTCCTTACCCAAATGCGTTCCCACGACCCATGTCCCCGCAAATGCGATGTGTACCTTTCGCTTCACCACACTTTCTTTACGGCTCCACATGGTCGCAGTTCTTCATGTAGGACAGCATCCGCAACTCGTTAGACAAGGACAAGGCCACAGAGTTGCTAGATGTGTTTTCTGTTCTGACTGGAGATCAAGCAACATATCATGCCTACAGTTCTTGGTGTTGAACAAGACCAACCATTCACCCCAGGAGATTGGGTGAATTACATGTGTAGATACACGTGTACATGTGTCAATATTATTGCTTACAGTGCTTCCGCCGTCGATCCTTTGCAAAAATTGGTTCTCCCCAACTGATGCGGTGCAACACTTGCTGCAACGCATAGCGCGATTATTGTCGAGTTTGGTTTCTGCAAGTCAGACAACGACTTTATCTACCCGTCATGGCCGAGTTCGGGCCTTTGACAATCCACGACAATCCTGATGGCTGGGGTCCACCAATGGATCTCGCGCCGGCTAAGTTCCAGGATATGCCGTATGCCCCATTCTCAAAGTCCGACCGCCTAGGCCGCGCGGCCGATTGGACTTCCTTTGGGAACCGCCACCACCGCGATCCCACTCCGGAAGACCCCACCTCCGAGTTTACCATAGTGGACAACAAAGTCATACCACGCACAGGCGGCTACGGACGTGGACGCTCCTCGTTTCGCGGTTCTTACCGCGGTCGTTCAGGCCGCTACGGAGACCGCGGTGGCGATCGCGACATGAATAGACGATCGAACAGAGGTGGGCGGGGGTCCTCTCGTGGTGGCAGGTCCAATTATCGTTCTCGATGGGAGGATCGTCGAAACATTCAGAGAGAGTCCAGTGTCGAAGTCGGCACCGAATGGGTTCAGCTAGAAGAGCTGACCTCCAACGCTTTGTCCAAGCTTTCATACAAACCAGTTACTAGCGGTGAAACTATCACCACGTGCGGTGTACTGCCCTACGTGGATCGCACTTTGGACAAGATCACTGCGAAGAATCCGAGGCCCTTGCGCAAATCTACAACCGAGTATCCACGTGTTACGACTACTGATGACCCTGTCATTCGCAAGATCGCAGCTAGTGGCGAGGGTTCCGTTTTCGCAACTGGTGCCATCCTCGCGCTTATCATGGCGGTTCCTCGCTCGGTGCAGAGTTGGGATGTGATTGTGCAGAGAATTGGGGGCAAACTATTTCTGGACAAGCGCGATGGTTCTATGGTTGACTATGTTACGGTGAATGAGACATCGCATGACGCGCCCAAGGATGAGAAGAATCTCACTGGCGACGAAGTGATCAACTCTTTCCAGAGTTTGTCTAAGGAGGCCACAAAGATCAATGAGAATTTTACGCAAGCGGTTGTCAGCAAGACAGACGTATTCAAATATCCCGAGGGCAACCCGTTTGCAGATGAAGTTGAGGGGACACCTGTAAACATTGCATACCGCTACAGGAAATGGTCTTTAACGGACGATATTACGATTGTGGCCAGATGTGAACTGGACGGTGCCTTCAAGGCTTCCGCCGCAGAAGATGAACCATTGCCAATATCGATTCGTGCCCTCAATGAGTTCTTTGATCCCAACGCCAGGCAGCCGACAGATTGGCGTGGAAAGCTCGACACTCAGCGCGGAGCCGTGTTGGCGACAGAAGTGAAGAACAACGCGTCGAAACTCGCGCGTTGGACCGCAGAGGCGCTTTTGGCAGACACAGACCGAATCCAGTTTGGATTCGTGTCGAGGACAAGGGCGGCCAAAGCGGATTCACACACTATTTTGGGCGCTCAGATGTATCGTCCGAAGGAGTTTGCATCGCAAATTGCGCTCAATACAAGCAACATGTGGGGAATTCTCAAAGAAGTCATCGACTCGTGTTATAAAAACCTGGAAGATGGGCAGAAGGGTGTGTTGTTGAAAGACCCGAACAAGTCTATCCTTCGGTTGTACCATGTTCCAGATGACGCCTTTGAAGAAGACGAAGAAGAGGATGATGAGGACGAGGAAGGGGACGATGCACAACAGGGTACGTTGTTTATGTAAGATAGCAGTATGGACATCCGACAGTGTGCAAATTTGATAAACTGTGCGGCGCTACCCTCTCGATGAATCACAGAATGCCACCGTGTTAGGTGCGCTTGTGGCGATTTCCCCTTGTTTAGTGCTGCTGTCCGGTAAGCACATGCAGGCATGTGCTTACCAGACAGAAACAATGGCGTGCGCAGCAAGTGTCAGCGGAAAACTCTGTATCTTCGTCAGAGGGATGGCCAGCCCTCGTTTGTCTCCATACTTGCCCTGAGAGACGAGACCCACCGCTAACGATGCCGGATTTCTACAAGTCAAATGAGTTTGTTCTAAAAAACTACGGTGCTTAACCTTTGTTTTACATGTAATTCTGCCATTGGTTGTGGTAGTATCCATCTCACACGAAAGCGATATACAGACGAGGTGTCATGTATATTGGTGGTTTCTTTCTCATTCACGCGACCGAGCAGTGCGCAGCTAGAGGGAATAGAATAGACAGGATGCCTACTTGATATCTTTTTTCTCCGTATCATCTGGTCGCGTCCTACATATCTCGTTGGTGGTTTAGTTTTGAATAAACGTTACAAGTTTGAGCTTTTTAATCCACAGTTGCTCCCGGATAATTATAAGATAAATCTCTGAATCAAAAAGATTACATTTGTGGGACAATATCGATAACCACAGACTGGGATGTGGTCGCTCCCCCGAGCTTCAAAGATTGGAATTTCGGATTTCCGTTTCTTTGGTGGAGAATTTATGTGTCGGAGGACAAGGTTTCATATTTTCACGTCATCGCAAGACTCAGGATGCGCCAGTCCTCCGAAGAGGGATGTACTATACCAAGGGTACAGTACATTTTTGAAGACCTTAAGAGCATTTAAGATGCCTTTTTGCTTTTAATGCCGCCGAACAAAGAGGGAACAAAGAGGAAAGGGCCAAACAGGGCTGGCCCTCGGGGCCAGTGCAATGCCTGGCCCGCACACGTGTTAGTTACATTTTGATTGGTTGAAATAGATGCCGTTCCGTACAAGTACATTGTCAGAAACGGGGCAGAAGATGTGACACACTGCCACGGCCCTGGGGGCCGGTCTTAACAGAGCACGTTCTTGCCCACCACCACCGAATTATGAGCCAAATTTTGTCGAACTGCACACACGGAGCTTTGCTTCAGCAAACGCACCGACCACAGCAGTCTCGCGGCACGTTTCCACAGTAGGATACTTGTTGTATGTGGTCCATAAAGTATCGACTCAGATGGGCCTCAGCTCTCGATATGACGAAAGAGGTTTGTGGCACGGCCGCTGACAGCACCGCCTTGTGATGGGCATTTACACTCTGAGGGCCTCACGACCCGGTCCTTTTCGCACAAGCAGATGCTGTGTGATGTGGTTTTTTGAGAAATTTTTGCGCTTCGGCTGGTTTTCACTGCGACAAGAGGGAGTAGTAGAAGGGATACAGAATGCCAGGATTCAAACGCGGCAATGCGATGTGGAAAGAATACCAGTATCCAACACGTCGTCTGAAAAAAAAAAAAGTTCAGGTTCAAATGCCTCAGACACCGAACTACTCACTACTGGCTGGGCTGGCGACGTTCACAATTTTCTCTTTAGCCGGGTACGGCAGCCACTGGGCAGGAATCTCGAGAAGAGGAGCACTTTTCGGTGCATGCTCACAGCTAACAAAGGAGCCGCAACTATGGCCGTACGGTAGTGTAACGTGTCAGGATGCTACGAACCCGGAGTCTACCTGCTTACGCATACTTGCTGGCATCATGGTCAACCAAAAGCCGGAAAGGGCAGACGCGCTGTCAGACTGCGTTGTGGTTCGAATTGACGGCAACTTCACAAAGAGGCAGGGCATGCTTCTAAAACCTCTTGTTGTGGAGGCGATCCTACCCGAAGTCGAAATGTTGCAGCTGTTGGATTGGGACGCTTACAGCCTAGGACGCGGGGAGTGGGCCGGTGACATGATAGCTGAGTTGGATCCGAGATCTAAAGACGTAAACACCGGATGCATGCAATTCAGGCGGAATTCGAGAACACTCAGCGTTGTCGGGTCGTGGGCGGAGAAATCCAGACGGGCGTTTCCACGCGGGGACGTGCATGATCAGCAAACATTCGCAGGCGACAGATTTTATGATGCCAATGTGGTGATCGCTGAGCCCGGCCAGTTCTGCGTGCACCCAGTGTACGTGGAGAAACGGCGACGAGGTCAATTTTTAATCACGACGTTTTGGGTTCACAAGTCGGTAGAAGCCTTAACAATGCTAGCAGTGGCAGTCGTGGCGTTACGAGTCTTGTTAACTCTGAGGGCGCTCAAGGAGCTGACGGAGGCTGGGTTGACGTCAAGTTGGGTTATGATTTTGGATACGTGGTGTTGGATAGCTGCTAGGGGGCTATTCGCAGTAGCAGTAGGAGCAGTAGCGGTGTCGGAGACGGTACTGCCAGCGCGTTCAGTCGCTGAGTTGTACGGCGTCAACGTTGAGACAGGAGGGAATCCATACGGGTACTGGTCATATCTAGCAGTGATGATATTGCAACTGGCGAGGACCAAGGCGACAGCGCTGATTGCACCTATGATGACCGAAGTGGCGATATTCGAGGTCAACTGCAAGTCTGAACAATTCTTGCTAGGAGGCATAACACTGGCTGGGGTTGAGGGCGTGGCCGATTGCACTGGGAGAGTGAAGAGCAGGACGCGTCGGGTGAGAGCGGTGTGGTCAGGGAGCGGAAGCCATTTGACGACCGACAAAGGTACGAGTGTCCCTGTCTCGGAGTGGGCTGCGGTCAAGGGGGTCGGGCAGGCGTGGAGTCGTAGTGGGTGGGCCAAGTGGAGCAGCGAACGACATAGCGTGCGGAGGAAGAAAGAGGCCCGGTTGGCGGATTGTCCGGATTGTGGGAGTGTTCCCACGAAAAGGGGTCACGCGCGTGTATGCGAGACCGCGCTCGCACGAGGCAGACGCGCGGAATACGGTGGGTAAATGAGGTAGTTGTGAGGGCACAGAGCCGACCACACTGGTCCGGAGTAAATCGTAGGCATTTACTCCGGCTTTCTCTTGCTTCTTTCCGATGCCATCCTTCTGAAGGGTACTACGGATGGACAGGGCAGGACAGGTGATCTCACCCGTAACACTGCCAATAGATACTACTTCGCTCTCAATAGATACTGCTTCGCTCTCAAGAGCGAAGTAGTATCCTATTGGCAGTGTTACACTAGTCATAATTCCTGTTGGCGAGCTCACGTTTGGCAGTCCACTCGTGCCCACGCTGCGAAAGACCGTCGAGTATTGACCAATTTTCTCGCGATCCATTCGGCACTTGCACTTATACTGTACAACGGTACTGTACACACACCATACTGACTACTGCATGGTTTCCTATTCGTTCCGCAGCTTCTGCGGCCCATGATACCCCAAGCAATGGTGCGCAACACTGCCTCATCTTTCTACGACATCACGACAACAGGATGTCCTCCGCCTACCGCACCAGTCGACCGACTATCTGTCTCCGCTCCTATGGACCGCTGACGCGCCGAGGTGTACGCACTTTCACCCTGCCTTTGATCCAACTGGCTATTCCGATGCATCGATACATATCTTGTACAGTACAGTATGTGGACGAGACACCTCACCCGTCACGGCACGTTGAACCCGTGATTTGGCTCTATCCCACAACAGGAGGCTCGCCCCAGGAAACTCTTGGGGCGCCATCTCGTCGGTCGTGAGATGGAAACGAAACGAATCTCTTGCGCCATGCCTACACTCCCGCCCATCTGACAACTACTTAAGCTCGCCTGCGTCGACCACCACCAACATTTGGCTCCACGTACCAGCAACAACTCACAAGCAACAACAAGCAAAACCAACGATGCTTCTCTACTTCTTTTCCCCGTTCCTTGTCTCCATTCTCGCTGTCTGCGTCTCCGCAGCCCCTTTCCCGAGCCCACTTTCAGCTCGTCCGTCAGAACAGTGTAACACGCCAGCAGTTCCGGGGCAGCCGCCCTCCGATTCTTTCTGCCGCAACCCGCCGACAGACTTTGTCGACCTGGACATCTACAAGGGCACCTGGTTCCAGATCTATGGCTCAGGTAGTGCCCTGAGGTTCTCCGGCACCGCCTGCACCACCGCCGACTACAAACTCAACACAAACGGCACGGTCGCCGTGCTGAATTGCTCCGTGCGCGAAAAGGGGGCCATCCCCTCCTGCGCCAGAGCTATCGCCTCGCCAAGGAACGACACGACAGACACTGGAAAGCTCGAGGTTTTTTTCCCTTCCTCCCCTCCTAGTCCGGCCAATCCCGGGCGATACAATGTCGCTGCTCTCCTTGGATCCAACCAGTATTATTTAGCGGCAGCTGTCTACTCTTGCAGTTCTATTCCAGGCGTTCCCAACCAGAGTGGCTTTTTCATCATCTCGAGGACGGCCTTCTTTAAAGAGATTATATTGTCCCTCCTCAAGCTGCGGTTGTGGTGCAAGGGGTATGACACGAGCCAAATGTTCACGACCATTGACCAGGAGAATTGCAAATACTTTTTCCAAGACTCTGGCTTCAACATTCAAGGATAGTAGTCCTCTCCTCAGTCAGCGGTACAGTATTAAAGAGCACTTTACGTAACGCAAAACACAACAATTAAAATTGAACAGAAACAAGCAAAGAAACAAGCAAAGAAACGCGCATCTCTCACACGCTTTGTGACACGTGGTTGGGACCGGTGTAAGTAATTGGAAGTCTAAGTTAGTAATTGTAGACCGCGCGCAAAAAGAGTATAAATGCGGTGGTTTTCGGTCGTCCTGTACGACCGAGAGCAGAGAGACATCACACATCACAAAAAAACACACACGGGTAAGACACGGGACGACGTACCCCGTTTTCACCCTAACATGGTACTCTTGTGGAGGGCCGACGCCAACAGTCAGGCGGGTCCCGCTTCCCTGGTGTTCGATGGTAAGCACGAGGCGGATGTCGCCAAGTTCTTCTTTGTCTACGAAAACGTCGTAATGAAAGGCAAGTCCGACGAA